AAGACTGCCTCATCTCCATCAATTCTGCGTCCAGTGTGCCATTTCTCACAATATTATAACTTACCTCACGTGATGGCAGAAACGCAGGGGAAAGTGACCAAATAGATCTATATTCTTATCTCCAGTCACACTACAATACATACAGTATAATTACTACTAAGTTATTACTACCTTAATAAAGGAGGAGGTGCGATTGAACAACCTCCCTTCTAACTTGATGGTAAATTTGGTTCCTTTCAGAGGGAGACTCAAATGATCAAGGGTCTGGAGAACAAGTCCTATGAGGAGCAGCTTAAAGAGCTGGGTATGTTTAGCCTGAAGAAGAGAAGGCTAAGAGGAGACATGATAGCCATGTATAAATATGTGAAGGGAAGTCATAGGGAGGAGGGAGCAGGCTTCCTTTCCGCTGCCCTGGAGTCTAGGACGCAATGGAGCCATGGCTTCAAACAACAGAAAAGGAGATTCCACTTGAACATGAGGAAGAACTTCCTGACTGTGAGAGCTGTTCAGCAGGGGAACTCTCTGCCCCGGAGTGTGGTGGAGGCTCCTTCTTTGGAAGCTTTTAAACAGAGGCTGGATGGCCATCTGTTGGGGGTGCTCTGAATGCAATTTTCCTGCTTCTTGGCAGGTAGTTGGACTGGATGGCCTATGAGGTCTCTTCCAACTCTATTATTTTTTGATTCCAAGTTCTTCCTAATTTTCAGACGGAATCTCCTATCATTTGAACCCATGCCTCCATTGAGTCCTAATCTCCAGGGCAGCAGAAAACTAGGTCCGCTCCCTGTTCCCTATGGCATCCTTTTCTGATATTTAAACCTGACTCTCTTCTGAAGCTAAACAGACCCAGCTCTGTAAGCTATTCCTCAGAGGGATCCATGCTTTCCAGACCTTTGATCACTGAATCAACAGAAGAAGCCATACACAGCTTTCTATGCAACTGTCACGACTTTCTTTCCTGGTTTTGTGTGGAATCAGAACAGTAGACTATGCCAAGCCGTCCTGAGTCCCCCTTCGGGGGTATAGAAGTGACGGGGTAGAATACCAGAAATAATAAATAGATAGATAGATAGATAGATAGATAGATAGATAGATAGATAGATAGATAGACTGCCCTGGCCTGTGCATACTTGAAACAAAGGAAAGGGTTCCCATGGAAATGAGAACAATGAAAGGGAGGAGCCAGGGTGAGGGATAGCAGGTGTGAGGGAAACTGTCAGTTGGAATTTTGTTTGGTACCACACTGTATGCTTTTAGAAATAAAGCCTTCCCACTCTGTTCGTGAGGTAATTTCTTCACTAGAAAGCTTCAGATCCAGACACAACTGTAGTATTCATGGATCTAAACATTATAAAGAGACTAAAACAGACCTAAAGAACTATAGAAAGTGGAGTAGATAAACAACAAAAAAGGGAACAATCTAACTCCCCCAACTTGGACTAAGTGACGGCTCTTGATCAAAACAAGGCAGTTTGTAAATTAGAGACAGGAGTCAAAAGTATCCAAGAGGAAAACCCACCTGGAACTTTTCGGCAGCATTCTCGGTTGCTTGCCCCAATAAATGTCTTTGCTTTGCTTCTCCATCTCCCGTATTTTCCACATTTCTGACTCTTCTTGGATCTGAGATATGGAAAGAGGGGAATAAAAGGAAGCATCCATCAATGCCATGCTTCTTGTAGCTTTGTATAAAACAGTAGTATTCATGGAATAAAACATTCAGGGAGTAAAGCAGGGTTGTGTTGCAACGTAGCATCACAATCCTGGCTGACAATAATAGTCACCGTTCCCGACCTTGTTGTGCGCGCCGGTGTGTCGGATGACATTGCGCAGCAGGACTTTTCCCAAAGGGACGTGGGACATCGTTTAGCCGGAGTCATCAAAGGGATGGCACAAACACCCTGCAAGCAATAAGTAGCAGTTATAGAAAAATATGTAGACCAGTAAACACTGCCTGGGTTTTAGTGTGAGCCACTCTGAGTCTCACGCCATCATAATTCAGTGCCTTGTGTTGCTCTAACATGCCTTTACACTGGAAAACATTATCAGGTGTCAACAGAGGAGGGAAAAGGGTGAGCTCCCACTGTTAGCCCCAGCTTTTGCCAAACTAGCAGTTCAAAAACATGCAAATATGAGTAGATCAACCACTCTGGCGAGAAGGTAACGGCGCTCCATGCAGTCATGCCCATGGTCACATGACCGTGGAGGTGTCTACAGGCAACGCCGGCTCTTGGGCTTAGAAATGGAGATGAGCACCAGAGTCCCAGAGTCGGACACGACTAGACTTCATGTCAAGAGGAAAACCTTTACCTTTTTATATATATTATACACACACACATAAATATAATCCTCCCCCACCTATCTATATTATATTATATAATATATATTACTGATAATATGCAATGCAAGGGAAGCAAACCCTCTTCAAAACCTGACACAGGAACAGTTTTGGAGCTGAGAATGGGATTCATTTAAGAAGACAGGTTGCAGATTTATAATAAAATGCACCAAAATTTTAGGAAGCTGACTCTCCACCTCTCCTTCTCCATAGCTTGGGCTATTTGACAATACAGTAAAATCATAAACTGATCAAATAAAAGGGAAGCTAGACTCATTAACTGAGCATTCCTTGGGATAACTCTGCTTTCCTATTGCCCTTTATTATCACCCTGTATTATCACCCTGTAGCGCAGTGGGTTAAACCTTTGTGCCTGTCTTTGCTTTGCTTCTACATCTCCCGTATTTTCCACATTTCTGACTCTTCTTGGATCTGAGACATGGAAAGAGAGGAATACAAGGAAGCATCCATCAATGCCATGCATTGATGGCATCTGGGACTCTGGTGCTCATCTCCATTTCTAAGCCCAAAACTGAAGACCGACAGGTCACAGGTTCGAATCCGGGGAAAGGTGGATGAGCTCCCTCTATCAGCTCCAGCTCCTTGTGCGGGGACATTAGAGAAGCCTCCCACAAGGATGATAAAAACATCAAATCATCTGGGCATCTCCTGGGCAATGTCCTTGCAGACGGCCAATTCTCTCACACCAGAAGCGACTTGCAGTTTCTCAAGCCGCTCCTGACACGACATCACCCTGTAGCTGAAATTCTCTGAGCCAATGGCAAAGCAAAGCAAAGCTGATGCAACACCAGAGAAGTTGTCCTTTAAGAACCCTGCCCTCTTCTCTTCTCATAATGGTGCTATTTGTCACTCTGCTGTGAAAGGAGCACCGATTATTCTGATTATTCCAGGTGAATGGAGTGTGTTATTTCGCAAGGCATCAAGGCCCCCATTGTGCAGCAGCGGTTTGGGAGGTGCACGCTTGCATGACGTGTTTGCATGGTTTCCCTAATGCTTGCCTTGGGCCAGTGCTTCTCTCCCAGCAGGACTCCCAAATGGGGCTGCCATGAGAACAAAACAGGCCTATGGGGAGAGGCAGAGAGAGAGAGGGATGCCTACATATGGCATCCCAAATTCCTTTCCACTGGATAGAAATATGGGGTGTACCCCCAAAATTGGATAAGAACTCATAATTATGGAGATAGATATTCTGTTGCACAATTTTTTGGGGGGGGACAGACTGTCTATCTATATAGGGGATCCCTATTATTATTATGTTTATTTATACCCCGTTTTTTCTGTCCACAAGGAGATTCACAGCAGCTTACATTAAAAGCATTTCAATACAATTTAAAATCTACAAATATATAAACATATATATACACACGCACACATATCGCAAAACTATACAAGTCTATAATGCGCACACATTTATCTACCTATTTATATAATTCTTACCACCGAAAAAGTATGCAACAGACTATCATACACACACATATATCTACCATACACTATCATACACACACATTATCGTACGCACACATATAGCTGCCATATGTACAAGCATATATATATTATCCTCCCCCTCAAAAAGTATACAATAGACTTGTGTGTGTGTGTGTGTGTGTGTGTAGCTACTTTGAGTCCTTTTTGGGGAAATAAAGTGAGGCAAAAATAAATATATTAATTTTTTTGTGTCAGGAGCAACTTGAGAAACTGCAAGTCACTTCTGGTTTGAGAGAACTGGTCATCTGCAAGGACGAAGCACAGGGGACACCTTATGTTTTACCATCCTGTGGGAGGCTTCTCTCATGTCCCCGCATGTGAAGCTGGAGCTGACAGATGGGAGCTCATCCCACTCCCCGGTTTCAAACTGCAGACCTTTCAGTCAGCAGTCCTGGCAGCATTTGGGTTTAACCCATTGCACCACCGGGGGCTCCTAATATAATAATAACAATAATAACAACAACAACAACAGCAAGTATGTGTCTGTCTGTATATATGGCAAGTGTGTGTACACACACAATCTACCTCCACCAATATATGTGTGTGTGTGTGTGTAGCGACTTTCAGTGAGGTATGAATAAATATAATAATGATGACAATAATAATAGCCATAGGTTTTTAAACGTTTGTTGTGCTACTGTCAATGTTTATTGCTTATTTTTTGTTTATGAGATTTATTTTAACCGTTTTTGTATTGTTGTTTGTTATTGCTTTTATTATTGATGTATTGTGGGCTCGGCCTCTTGTAAGCCGCACCGAGTCCCTTGGGGAGATATATGGTAGATGTATGTGTGTGTGTGTATAATTTATTTATTTACCACATTTATATCCTGCCCTTCTCACCCCAAAGGGGACTCATATACTCATATACATGCAATAGACTCTCTCTCTCTCTCTCTCCCTCTCTCTCTCTCTCTATATATATATATATACACACACACACACACACACACACACACACACACACACACACACCCTGCCACCATCTCCCCAAGGGGACTCGGGGCGGCTTACATTCGGCCATGCCCAACAATTACAACAATGCAAATAAACAACATAAAATAATGCATCAATAAAATACAATAAAAATAATAAATGAACAATACAAAATAAACACAAGATGCAATATAAAATCACAATAATTGATCACGATGGGCAGGGCCGGTTGCAAGGATTAAAATATTTAAAAATCCTAGATGAGATAAGTAGTATAATGTATCTGGAAGGATACGTGTATGTGTGTGTATAGCCACTGAGTGGGGTATGAATAAATACAATGATGATGATAATAATGTGTGTTTCTCTATATATGTATGGCGAGTGTGTGTGTGTGTATTTCTCTCTGTGTATCTCTCTCTCTATATATAATTTATTTATTTACCACATTTATATCCCGCCCTTCTCCCCCAAAGGGGAGACACACACACACACACACACAC